ACGCACATATTATTTTTACCATCACTCTTGTGAATGTCCATTTATTATTTATAGAATTAAATAAACATTAACATAAATAAAAATTCCTTCAAATATACATGTAGTATAATTCAAGTCTTTGTAATATAGCAAACAGTTTCATCCATCTCTGCCGCTTTGTGTCTTAAGTGTTGTAGTCCAGTCCTCGTTTACATACACGTGGCCACAGAGAGCCGTGGGCACCTCGATGTTGAACAAATTATTTTTTCTACTTAACTTGTTACTGTATGCGAACAAAATGATAAACATGTAATTATTTATAGGTTCCCATTATTTTTTCTGAAAATCAGAACACATTTATCAGCTCTCTTAAGGTTTTACGGACACATACAATGTACACGCATGCAAGTACAGAACATGCACGTTTTATAAGTGCATATGCAAGAGCGCCCCAAATATATGCATATCGAGAGTTTGAAATACAGAAAAATTCTAAATCCCGCATTTTTTTTTTCATTATTTTTGCAATAAAATATTGACTACACTGAAATGATTTTATTGATTTACAGCATATATTAAAGTGAATTATAGGTCCGCTGAGTTGATCATGAGTTGTTTTTATAACGGGTAGTCCTCCTGGCCAGTCATCGTCACGGTTTGTAACATCGTAATTACACAGGTAAATGCTAAGATGTCAATCCATATATTTTCCATAAGAAATGAATTACCGGGAGATGTCTCGTTTTCTCTGATCATATATTAATTGACAGCGTTTATGAACAGCTGTTAAAACACAGGCCTTTGTAAACCGGTAAATCACAAAAAAGAAAAATCCGAGACATAAAAAAACAGAAAATATAAATATCTCTGGAAATAACATTGCCTTTAGATAACTAAAATAAATTAATGTCCGCCGATTTTTGAATTAATCCGAACATTCATTGATGTGTACCGGTGTAGTGTACCTGTACAGGCAGTGTGTATATTTTTATGAAGCCTTCATCCAACCGAACAATATAATAAATCTTGAATGAATTAACTAACCCCTTCAGTACACACACTTTTGCCTATACCTGAGATCTAATCAAAATCAGATCTTTTTTACGGCCCAGAATTCTGATAGTCGCTGTATTTCTAATCTGATTGACTATACACGTACCTTTAACAAATATTCTTTTTCTTCGGGACCCCTGCATCACTAGTCAGGTGCTCTGCCGACTGAGCTACCCAGGCCGATATCCACGACCCAAACCATTACAGTTTAAATAATAAATAATTAATAAAACTTTTATTAACTAATATCTTCATTTTTTTTAAAATAAATTTTTAACTTAATTATAAGAAATCAATGCAGGTGCTCCACGTATCAATTATTGTGATAGAGGTACTTACCACGTGACCTGATCATAATGCATTCATATTGGTCAACTCTGTGATGCATGACATTGTGTGTATTTATCAAACCTTTCAAACTCTTTCCTCTTGACACCATCTTTAAGTGTATTAAAAAGTCAAGCGACTTCCTGTCAATTTTGAATATCGCCACCGCACGTGTATTTTGAACTTTGATTACCAATTTCATTATTTTCATCAATAATAAATATCCTTTTAGCCTGTCATTTTCGGAATTTTAAAAACTAAACTTCACACAAAAAATCACGGACTTCTTGTTAAGTTATAATGCAAACAAACGACTGAAACATCTTGAACACAAGAAGGGTTGGTGAGGTGCATAACTACATGTATAAAATAAAAAAAAAGCAAAGGCGGATCCAGGGCCGGCGCGCTGGGCGCACGCCCCCCCCCCTTCCGTTCCGTTTTCGAATTTTTTGTATGTAGAACTTATATGTCCATTATCCTTATATCAAGGAAAAAACATCTCTTATTTGTAAGAATTTGTCAACTTCTGGGGGCTTTGCCCCTGGATCCCCACCAGGGCTTTGTTATAGACCCTCTGGGGGCTTCATTGCAGCCCCCCCCAGACCCCTCCCCTGCCTTCTACTTTGCCCCCCCCCCCCCCCCCCCCCCGTTATGAAATTCCTGGATCTGCCACTGCAAGGGGCGTAATAAACAAGAATAATATAACTTTGAAGGGATGTGATCATCGGTATTGGTACTTTTACCTATGATATATACACAAAGACCTCTAGATCTACACGACAGAAATAAAGCTTGAGCGGCAGCTCTGCTTTAAAACATGTATCTACTTTTCGGTACAATCATAGAATATTATATTAAGTATTTAGCAAATCCTTGCTACAAAGCACAAACACCATAATATTAAACTTGACATGTAACTAAAATTATTCCATCAATAATCCACGAACATACATTGAAAGGATTATAAATATCTGTAGAAATTAAAAAGCAATTTGGAATTTAAAAAAAAAAAACTGTCGGCGAGTTTCTTATTGCTGCTATTGCGTTGAACATGCCATTTGATTGACAATCTCTCTATACATGTGATATAGAATTTTTTGTATTATTTTTATTTTTTATCTTAATAATTAAATATTACTGATTATTTCTATTTTTATCATTATTTTGTACTACACGTATGTGTTTGTGGTTTAAGTGCAAAGTTAGGCTGTAGATTATAAAACTATAACATATGCCAGGACAGACATTTCTACATGTTACTTTTCAAGGACATAGCATCGTTTTTGAAAGGGGGGGGGGGGCAACCAGAGAAAAAAAATTAACTTACCTGAAAAGACTTTACAAGCAAAACCAAAATAGGAAAATAGCCCAGAATCCTATTTCCTGGCGGAAAGGGGTGGGGACAACGGGACAATACTGCAACAAAAAGTGGGGGCCAACGGGACTTTCAATGAACATTACTAAAGTAAAAAATTAGGTCTGAAAAAAGGGGGAGGCTGATGCTACGTGCCTGCTCTTATAGCTCATGCTTTATTTGATCTGCAATATCATAAGTTTACTTGATTGAATATCTCGGAGTCTCTCTTATCCTTTTAGTTTGACCAACTATGCAAAATTTAGCCTTTTGAACAGTTGGCGTTAGGGCTTTCATACTTCACATCCGAAATTCTTTGTGACAAGACCTTTTCTTTGGAATAAATATTTTTGACCTTGTGACGTTCACCTTGGAGTTTGACCCACTTTTTAAAAAAATCTAACCTTGGCAATACCTTTTGAGCGGTTGGGACTAGTGTTTTCACATTCACAGGTGTATTCCTTGTGAAAACGCTGTTCATTGGATATCAACAATTTTTACTATTTGACCTTGACCTTGGAGTTTGACGTACTTTAAAAAAAATTAAAAGTTTTGACTTTTTACCTTTGACCTTAGAGTTTGACCTACCTTTGAAACATTTTAATCTCATTCATAACTTTTCAACGGTTGGTGTTAGGGTTTTCATATTTTTACATGTGTGTTTCTTGTGACAAGACCCTCCCTTGAGTACCGACAGTTTTGACTTTTGTCCTTGATCTTGGGGTTTGACCTACTTTTGAAAAAAAAACGTTGACCTTTGTCATAACTTTTGAATAATTAATGCTAGGGCTTTCATATTTCAATGTCTATTTCTTATGACAAGGCATTCCTTTGGACACCGTTAATCTATCCTTGACCTTAACATTTGACTTGAGTATAAAAAAAATTAACCTTTGCCATGCTTTTCAATAGTTAGTCTTATAGCGGTTTCATATTTCACAGTTATATTCACTGAGACGAGATTTTTCTTTGGGTAACATAAATCTCTTGACTTTGACCTTGGAGTTGGATACGGATTTGAGAAACTTAAACCTTCGCCATAAGCTGCAATACCGGGGCATCAGTGTTTCACAAACACGTCTTGTTCAATATCCAAACTGGACAGAAACATTCACAATGAATCCTTAAATCATTGTGTGGAACCTGATAAATTATTTGACTCGATCTATGGTCTGAAAGAACATGGCTAACCTTATCCAGTCAATAGCTCACAGATTGGGATTTTTCTTAACCAGTGTGTGTTATGGTCTTGATGAAAGGTCATTTGGATGAGTTTGGATGAGAAGCTTTAAATTCGTTACCGTCTTTTTCTAGTGAAACATTGTTGGTATCATGCAGAGTGTGACATGGCCTAAACTCAAGTTCAAGGTCACTAAGGATAAGATATTTTGACTGGATGTATGGACTGTATGAACATGTGTGAATTTGAGAAGTTAGTAATACACAGATGGGGTTTGCTCATAACCAGAGTGTGTCATGGCTTTCGCAAGGTCATTTGGACAAGTTCAAGGTCACATGCATTCCTTTATCGTCTTTATACTACAGAGTGAAACATTGTTAGTTGATACCTCTTACAAGATTGCTTATAACCTTATGATATAGCATGACCTTGACTCAAGGTCACTTCTTCCTGCCTGCAGCTCCAACGGAAGACCTACTCGTTGCTTTGCAACGAGCTCAGCTCTAGTTTATATATACGTTTGTGTGTATTTGTGTAATATGTGTGAAAGTAGAATAAAAAAAAAAGAAAAAAAAAAAAAAAGAAGACTTGAACACTTTTATGTAGTTATACAAATTGACATGTATTTCACAAAATGATCAACAAATGTGTAATACAATACTTGATCAATGTTTATCAAAGCTTTTTATGTTACATTGAACTTCTGATGTTTGAACATTTTTCTGCAGTCCCTTGAAGTTCAATGTATGTGTAATAGGCTATAGTATGCTTTGTGTGATTTTGTGTCTCAATTAATCAATCCATTGTCTGTCCATTAACTCCTTAATTTGATTTGATAACTTGAGCTCTTTATGATGAGTTCAAATTCTATAACAGTTCACTTGTAGGGAATCTAAAAAGGTCAAGGTCAGAGTATTTGATATCATTGACCTGGAGTTGTCACTTAAAGGTCAGAGTTATTGTACACACTTAGATACAATAAATTTTCACTGTACAGATGATGTTTGAAAAAAGAAGTTTCCAGAGGGGGTATTAAAGCTGCTCAGCTGTAGCTCAAACTTACAAAAAAAAATGCGTACGTTACTTGCTATTTTCTGTATTTTACAGTTTGATTTGCTCTGATGCCATGGCACGAGGTATGGATATAGACAATGTGAAGTTTGTGATTTCTTATGATCCACCCCCTTACATAAAGACCTACATCCATAGAGTGGGCAGAACAGCAAGGGCTGGAAAGGAAGGGACAGCTCTTACACTTCTACAGAAAAAAGAGGTATATCAGATAAAGTTAATAAAAGACATGTAATCTACTCAGAAAGGAGGGGACAGCTCTTATACTGCTACAGAAAAAAGAGGTATATCAAATACAGTTAATAAAGGACATGTAATCTACTCAGAAAGAAGGGGACAGCTCTTACACTGCTACAGAAAAAAGAGGTATATCAGATACAATTAATAAAGGACATGTAATCTACTTAGAAAGGGAGGGGACAGCTCTTACACTGCTACAGAAAAAAGAGGTATATCAGATACAGTTAATAAAGGACATGTAATCTACTCAGAAAGAAGGGGACAGCTCTTACACTGTTACAGAAAAAAGAGGTATATCAGATACAGTTAATAAAGGACATGTAATCTACTTAGAAAGGGAGGGGACAGCTCTTACACTGCTACAGAAAAAAGAGGTATATCAGATACAGTTAATAAAGGACATGTAATCTACTTAGAAACGAGGGAACAGCTTTTACACTGCTACAGAAAAAAGAGGTCAGATCGAGTTTTATAGGAACAGCTATATAATTTAAACACTTTCACTAAAGTGAATTTAAAAACACGTCGTAAATTTAATGATGTTCATCTCTACTCATTGTCCTCTCTAAGTTAACAAGGTCAATGTGATGTTGAAAAAAGTGTCAGGGCTTTAATTATTTTATAACTTTTTTTTCTTGGAATGAATTTAAAACCTTAGTATGTTGGTGCCCATGACCTTAACATATACTTAGTACTTAGAATTTTCCATGTTTTGAAGCATGACCATTCACTTCTAGGCAGCTCACTGTGTGATCAGATGTTGAAAAATATGTAAACTTGAAACCTTGAAACACTATTGTTTTTAACAATTACAATGCATATGTATTTTAAAATTATACAGTACATATACTGTAAACCAACTTTTATTCATGTGCAAAAAATATCTGAGAGTTTCTGCGACCTACTTAAACATGCCACAAACCATTTATTTTGCTTTCAATTGTATTTGTAGAGAATGTTTCCTCAATCGGGAAAATTAATCGTCAAGGATTGATTTCAAAATGACGAATCGCAATTAAAAGATGACATGAATAATAGTTGGTTTACAGTATATTCAGCCTGTAACCTTGGAATTTTTTTAAAACAAGGGACAGGGTGTTAAAAAGATTGTTTTTAATTCCTTGGTATATATAGTTCCATCACTTCAAGACAATGACAAAAGAGGCTGGGAAAACCTACATGGAGAAGTTTAAAGTGAACTCTGGGGAGTTTGAGGATCTTATGGAGGGATATCAGAAAGCTCTAGCACAGCTTCCACACATCCTAAAGGTATTGTATATACAAGTACAAGTGATGTGGGATTAATAAAAAAAAATTGAATATTCAAAGATGGTCATTTCTTGTATTTTTCATGGCTTTTATGACAAATCAGAACTTGAAATCTTTTTAAACATGGAGTTCTTTTCTTTCAGAATGAAAAATTTCCTAAAAGATGATTTAGAAGATGAACTTTAACAATATGGCACTAGATGTACATTGTACATGTATTTTTAGCCAATAAATGTTGAGGTTTGTCAAATTTGTCATGTTTTGTCAAGACTTGTAAATCAGATATTTTTAAATTTACATTTTCATGTTCATACAGTACAATTTGAACTAACATATCTCTATTACTGAGAAAACAGTTGTCTGAAAGACGAATTGAACATGTTTTATATATCTACCATGATAATAAAATCCAATGTAGATAGGAGTGTGATGTCACATCTCGCTGATACTTCACACAGTATCAATAGATAGGAGTGTGATGTCACGAATCACTGATACTTCACATAGTGTCTGTAGATAGAAGTGCAATGTCATGACTTACTGATACTTCACACAGTATCAATAGATAGGAGTGCAATGTCATGTCTCACTGATACTTCACACAGTATCAATAGATAGGAGTGCAATGTCATGTCTCACTGATACTTCACACAGTATCAATAGATAGGAGTGCAATGTCACATCACTGATACTTCACACAGTGTCTATAGATAGGAGTGCAATGTCACATCACTGATACTTCACAAAGTGTCTAAAGATAGGAGTGCAGTATCATGTCTCACTGATACTTCACACAGTATCAATAGATAGGAGTGAGATGTCATGTCTCACTGATACTTTACACAGTGTCTATAGATAGGAGTGCAATGTCATGTCTCACTGATACTTTACACAGTGTCTATAGATAGGAGTGCAATGTCATGTCTCACTGATACTTCACACAGTATCGATAGGAGTGCGATGTCATGTCTCACTGATACTTCACACAGTATCAATAGATAGGAGTGCAATGTCACATCACTGATACTTCACACAGTGTCTATAGATAGGAGTGCAATGTCACATCACTGATACTTCACAAAGTGTCTATAGATAGGAGTGCAGTATCATGTCTCACTGATACTTCACACAGTATCAATAGATAGGAGTGAGATGTCATGTCTCACTGATACTTTACACAGTGTCTATAGATAGGAGTGCAATGTCATGTCTCACTGATACTTCACACAGTGTCTGTAGATAGGAGTGCAATGTCACATCACTGATACTTCACAAAGTGTCTATAGATAGGAGTGCAATGTCATGTCTCACTGATACTTCACACAGTATCAATAGATAGGAGTGCGATGTCATGTCTCACTGATACTTTACATAGTGTCTATAGATAGGAGTGCAATGTCATGTCTCACTGATACTTTACACAGTGTCTGTAGATAGGAGTGCGATGTAATGTTTCACTGATACTTCACAAAGTGTCTGTAGATAGGAGTGCGATGTCACGATTCACTGATACTTCACACAGTATCAATAGATAGGAGTGCGATGTCACGACTTACTGATACTTCACATAGTGTCTGTATATAGGAGTGCGATGTCACGTCTCACTGATACTTCACACAGTATCAATAGATAGGAGTGCGATGTCATGACTTACTGATACTTCACAAAGTGTCTGTAGATAGGAGTGCGATGTCACGATTCACTGATACTTCACACAGTATCAATAGACAGGAGTGTGATGTCACGACTTACTGATACTTCACATAGTGTCTGTAGATAGGAGTGTGATGTCACGACTTACTGATACTTCACATATTGTCTGTAGATAGGAGTGCGATGTCATGTCTCACTGATACTTCACACAGTATCAATAGATAGGAGTGCAATGTCATGTCTCACTGATACTTCACAAAGTGTCTGTAGATAGGAGTGCGATGTCACGATTCACTGATACTTCACACAGTATCAATAGATAGGAGTGCGATGTCACGACTTACTGATACTTCACATAGTGTCTGTAGATAGGAGTGCGATGTCATGTCTCACTGATACTTCACACAGTATCAATAGATAGGAGTGCGATGTCATGTCTCACTGATACTTCACAAAGTGTCTGTAGATAGGAGTGCGATGTCATGACTTACTGATACTTCACACAGTATCAATAGATAGGAGTGCGATGTCACGACTTACTGATACTTCACATAGTGTCTGTAGATAGGAGTGCGATGTCACGACTTACTGATACTTCACATAGTGTCTGTAGATAGGAGTGCGATGTCATGTCTCACTGATACTTCACACAGTATCAATAGATAGGAGTGCGATGTCATGTCTCACTGATACTTCACAAAGTGTCTGTAGATAGGAGTGCGATGTCATGACTTACTGATACTTCACACAGTATCAATAGATAGGAGTGCGATGTCACGACTTACTGATACTTCACATAGTGTCTGTAGATAGGAGTGCGATGTCATGACTTACTGATACTTCACATAGTGTCTGTAGATAGGAGTGCGATGTCACGTCTCACTGATACTTCACACAGTATCAATAGATAGGAGTGCGATGTCATGTCTCACTGATACTTCACAAAGTGTCTGTAGATAGGAGTGCGATGTCACGACTTACTGATACTTCACACAGTATCAATAGATAGGAGTGCGATGTCACGACTTACTGATACTTCACATAGTGTCTGTAGATAGGAGTGCGATGTCATGACTTACTGATACTTCACATAGTGTCTGTAGATAGGAGTGCGATGTCACGTCTCACTGATACTTCACACAGTATCAATAGATAGGAGTGCGATGTCATGTCTCACTGATACTTCACAAAGTGTCTGTAGATAGGAGTGTGATGTCACGATTCACTGATACTTCACACAGTATCAATAGATAGGAGTGCGATGTCATGTCTCACTGATACTTCACATAGAGTCTGTAGATAGGAGTGCGATGTCACGACTTACTGATACTTCACATAGTGTCTGTAGATAGGAGTGTGATGTCACAACTTACTGATACTTCACATAAAGTCTGTAGATAGGAGTGCTATGTCATGACTCACTGATACTTCACACAGTATCAATAGATAGGAATGAGATGTCATGTCTCACTGATACTTCACATAGTGTCTGTAGATAGGAGTGCAATGTCACGACTTACTGATACTTCACATTGTGTCTGTAGATAGGAGTGCGATGTCATGTCTCACTGATACTTCACAAAGTGTCTATAGATAGGAGTGCAATGTCATGTCTCACTGATACTTCACACAGTATCAATAGATAGGAGTGCAATGTCATGTCTCACTGATACTTCACAAAGTGTCTATAGATAGGAGTGCAATGTCATGTCTCACTGATACTTCACAAAGTGTCTATAGATAGGAGTGCAATGTCATGTCTCACTGATACTTCACACAGTATCAATAGATAGGAGTGCAATGTCATGTCTCACTGATACTTCACAAAGTGTCTATAGATAGGAGTGTGATGTCACATCTCACTGGGACTTCACTTAGTGTCTATATATCGCAGTGCATTGTCCCTCATCAAGAGTCTTATTTAAATCAAGATTAACAAAGATCTCGTCTAAATTTCTGCTTTGCAGTAGAACGTCTTCCTTCTACCCAAATTAATCGCACTTCTTTCACTTTGTCCTTATGGAAAGGTGTGCAAAGCTTCCAAAAAAGGTCATTTTAAATGATGAGTTATTTCAGACTTTTGTGTATTTAACAGAGTTCATACAGCTGAGCAAGGTTATTTTAAATGATTAGTTATATCAGACTTTTGTGTATCTAACAGAGTTCATACAGCCAAGCCAGATTATTTTCTACCACTTTTCCATCACTCTCAAGGCCTTTTTTAATGCAGATAAAAATTGACACAGAATATTAAATGAGATTAAAAAAAAAATCTTTAGCTCATTGATGCTTTTTCAACATTTTCTAATTGGTATTTGTACAAGATACCCAAGGGCCTTAACAGTCACCTGAGTGTAATACAACACCGTAAAACATCCATAGAAGTATGAAATAAAACAAACTGAAAGATGAACTATGTTGCCCAAAAGCAATAAATATAATGATAAGGGATCAATAACATAGTTAGTCTAGTGCTCCTTAATAAATCCTTAACTAGATCTATTTAGTTGCCTGTACCTGCCCCCATTTGTAACTATTATCTTGTAAACTAAACAAAACAACAGTGCTCGAACACTATTGGTAAACCTATCTCATTCCCTCTCACATTGGCCTCTCTTGGCCTATGAAGAACATTAAATGTACAAAAGATAAGGATTTTTGTCTCATTTTTATTTACTTATAAATAAAAAGTATATTATCAAAAGAGCCCATTCCAAACAACAGCACCCCTGACCCAGGGGCCATGCAATTCACATTATTGCAAGAAGCATCCTTGCTCATCATGACTATGCACTCTGTTTGTTTGCTAAATACTCAGGAGCAAAGAAGATTTTCAAAGAAATAATGCATTTTCACTATATATTATCCTAGAGCCCCAACTTAACACCACAAACCCTGACACTGGGGCCATGAAATTTCACAATTCTGGAAGAGGCACCCTTGCTCATCTTAACTATGCATTTAGTTTGTTTGCTTAATACCCAGGAGCAGAAAAGAAGATTTTGAAAGAAATAATGCATTTTTTCCCTATATAATCAATAAAGGCCCCCGCCCCAACAACAGAACTCCTGACTCAGGAGCCATGGAATTCACAATTTTGGAAGAGGCAACTTTGCTTATCATTTATGTAACCATGCACATAGTCTATCTGCTAAGTATCCAGGAGCAGGGAAGAAGATATTCAAAGAATTTATGCATTTTTTACTTATTTATATAATCAAATAAGTCCAGGCTTAACATTAGATTCCCTGATCCAGGGGCCATCAAATTAACAATTCTCAAAGAGGCACCCTTGGTCTTCATAGCTATACACTACATAATCAATACATATACACTACATAATCAATAGACCCCCCCCCCCTCCAGCAACAGAACTCCTTACCCAGGAGCCATGAAAATCACAAATTTGGAAGAGGCACCCTTTGCTCATCATAACTATGCATTTAGTTTGTTTAATTAATACCCAGGGAAAAAGAAGAATTTGTAAGAAATAATGCATTTTTCCATATATAATCAATAGAGACCCCCTCCCCAACAACAGAACTCCTGACCCAGGAGCCAAGTAATTCACGATTTTGGAAGAGGCACCCTTGCTTA